TAAAAAAGTTCAAAATGTTGAGTAAATTATCAACCTCGATATAGAATAATAGGTTCAATTAAAATCCAGAGATAAAATTGATTGCATACTTGCATTTGTGATCGGGAATACACGTATAGAACACTTCAAAAGTTTTGCACTAAAATAGTAATGTTTCATAGATTTTGAAACAGAAATGAAAATATAGGGAAAATGCGTCTGGTTTAAGTTTACATACTTCTGGAACATTTGGAACAAAAAGAAATTTCGTGTATGTTAAGGTATATATTTTTTTGAAAAATGGGATATTTGAGACAATAAATAAAAAATACACTTGTTGAATTTGAATTATAGTATCGACCAGACCTTCCTTTAACTAATTTCATAATACGCTAGACTAGCAGTGCGTTCAGGCTTTCCGAAAGTGCGGGTCAGCCGCTGGTGGCAATCACTCCCGCAAACAGTTTGCCCCCGCGAGCGAGAGCAAGCACGCGAGGCAGGTGCATTAGAGGGGAATGGTGTGTGGGCGGCTGCAACAAAACCTCATTGAGCGAGTGGCCGTCGCATCATCACGCTTTGAGAGCGACCCGCACGGCGCGCCCTGTCTGTCCTCGCCGCCCTCGCCCCTGCCCCCGCCACCGTCCCTCCGCCCGTAACTGCGCCACCACCGCCCCGTCCCCGCCCCCCCACTCCACTGCCGACAGCACTCCATCTCCCACCCTGGCCTGCTGCCACCTCTGCCGCCCTCGACTACGTTCACAGCCTCCCCCGCAAGTCCCTCTTAGACGAGCTGCTTCCGCTCCCCGCCCCGCTATGGCAGCACTGCCCCCATCCCATCGCCCCGCATCGGCACATGGTACCTGTCGCGCCGCCCGGCGCTCCCCCCCCCCATCGCTCGCAGTCGCTGTAACCCGTGTGACGCGTGGCGAACATGGTTCACGTACTTACCCGGGGGCGCACTCGACAGGGCACGCACGCTCACGTTTATCCACGCCGCTGTCTCTGTGAGGCCGGCTGCTGCATCAGCTGGCCCTTTACCTGCCCGGGCAGTGGGCGTTGCATATTCCTCGCCTTTCCTGCTTTGTTTGTGTTTCGCGTCTTTCCATGTTCGTGCCCATTTTCTCTCCAGATCCATATTCATGATTAAGTATCTCTCTTAGATTCTAGCTCGACACTGTTTACATTACCTTCGTTATTTTTTCTCAAATCGTTTGCCCCTGATACAAATATTATTGTAATTTTTTCTTCATAAATATATTAAAGCCCTACAAATTGAGGTACTTTGACCAATTATTCTTACGAAATACTGATAAATGCTTCATCAATTAACTACTCACCCTATTTGCAAAAAAAAATAATTATTTTGCTTCCTTGAGAACCATTCTAAAATGTATAAATATTGTTTGATCGAAAAATAACTGTTTACAATTTATGATACAGTTTTTAAACAGTTTCATCGTATTTATTCCAAATATAAATAGGTAAGTTATATAAAAAACTATTCATTCTACATAACTGCAATACCTTTAAATAGTAAATACAAAATAAATTACTTAAACTTCCTGAAAAAGCGATTTAAATAACCAAAAATATCATAAATCACTATTAAAGATTTTCTGATATTGCCAACAAATTTTAGGAATAATTAATAATAATTCTCCCGATTAATCTGCACATCACAATTGCAAAATTAAAATGACCGAGAAGAATTTAAACCGTAATCGGTTTAGAACATATTTCGTCACATAACCTGCATAGCGATGTCAATGCAGAATAACATGTTTTGCGTTCACATTTTGAGGGATTCGTCGGCAAATTTACAAAGTAAACAAAAATTAATACTATAGCTAGTTATATTTGAATTACTATTATTCCTTAAATTCAACAGTGCAATTAGACAGTGCATTTAAGATCAAAAGTTTTATCGTTAATAAACTTAATTGTAATGACCGATGATAAGTAACTTTGAAATAATTAATAATAATATTTAATAATAGAATTTTGCAAACAAAGCGCTTACTATTATTATTATTATTATTATTTTGAAACAAATTATTGTAACGAATTAAACTTAAATTGAATGAATCTACAAGTGCTTTTACAATTATTCGTCAAAAAATCCGTTTCGCATGCTTCTACAAGGGAATTTTCCAATAAGACTACCATACCTCTGAATTAATTTGGGTAGCTCTGGGACATTTCCACCTGTTGCTGTAGTAGCCCTGAGAAGAGTCCCGACCAAATGGAACTTTTTGAACCAGATCGCTGGGAAAGTCTCGTGCTTCTCTCAAACTCGGTGTTCGAGCTCAACAGCAAAACAGAAAATCATATAAATATTTTATTTCATACGCATTGAACAGAATTTGCGCGATGCCTCTCTCACCCTCTACAGCCAGGATGCGCTGGGCGCCCCTCGCCCGTCTGAAAACCAACCGGCTAGCGATGGCGCTTCTCAGTATGCCACGCTGTTGCAAACCGATCTTAACAGAACCTAACGAATCTTTGTTCATGAAAGTTACAGAATCAGTTTAAATGCTAATCCATGATAGGTTTCCGTGATTAGCTCCCCCCTCAACATCCTCTGATGCACAGAATCTAGGCGACACAGACGCCGCCAACAGAAATTAGTTCGGCAGTGGACATCATGCGAAGCACATATGTGTGGGAGTCATATCAAGTGAGCTCTGTGTAAGACGTACGCGTAAAATTCTCTCGTAAGCAACAACTTACAAGCTTCAAAGTCTTAATTATTAATTTGTGTTCTAACGTGAGTCGAATACGGCAGTGTATGCCACCTCAGATCAGAACGTACCATCAGATAAATCTTTAATGTTCCATAGGGAAACATTGCAGTGTTAATTAAGCTGAACAGTGTAACACGTACAAGTATTTAACTGTGAACTTGCGTATTATTGAGAGAAAAGTGATTAAGACTAAAATTGTTTGTGCAATACTTTGTTTCTGTGAAACCGGGAGCACATCCTGCAGCCTACCTGCTATCAAAGGGATTCGAGGACTGCTCGACTTCAATTACTCTATTAATTCATCCAGTCCCCTAAATCTGAAATGCGTGAAGCAGCCTCGAACTCGCAGAGGGAAGGGGAACAAGGAAGAGATAGGGTTTGCTTCAGAGGGTCTCACGAAGGTTCTGGAAGAAGTATACTGTGCACGCCTGGTGTCTCGGAGAGATATTTCTCCTCTGTGTTAGGTTCTACCATAGCCATATACTAGTTCTAGACTGGCAACGCCCTATCTCGTAGCGTTGGTGCTAGTGAAGTCAAACTATTACGCTCGTTGCCATCTTATGTCAATATAGATTTGTTCCCTGTCAGGGATATGTTTATTATGAACTTTTTCTTCATTTTAATCAATTTCTGTCGATCGTTGGCAATTGCTGGTTTATTTACATCACGATTGTGTATAGTTAAATGGTTGTAGTGTGTTCAGAAGTATATTTTTCAATTTGTGACACAAGGGAAAAGAAATCGGAATTTCAATACACAGGTTTGTGATTACCTTTTCCTGCTTTGTGCCCATGGCGTTGGTAATTTAGTTATTAAATTTCACTATCAGTTAACTATTATTTTTGTTAAGATTGTATGATTGAACTACTAATCAAAAGTACGTGGGAAAAGAAGTAAACTTGTCTGTATCGATGCCCCTGTGGTGTGCAACGCAAGCTCTGATGCATTCTTTTTTCGTTTTGGCGCTTCATTAATTTCCAATCCGAAATTTCATAAAAGCATTGATTAGAAAGGAGAACTGGCCACCTATATCTACTCCAATAATTTAATCACAACACATTTGTCCAGAAGATATGGATTTAACATGGCAGAAAAGAAGATCTGTCCCAAACACTTTTCCAGCCCATTTAAGGTAATTGCAGAAACATTGGAAGACACCGCAAACCTTATCAACACCAAGAAATTCTATTTTGGGAAACGAAACAGATGCTATTTTCTAATTTAGTGGCACAAATAATGATAATAAGATTTTTGTAGTTCTCCTAGTTGTCCGAAACTTTGGAATTTTTTTTAAAATTATTGTACCCAATCAGTGCATACGTTTCGCGTTAGGAAAGTTAATTCAAATAAACATTCTATTTCAAATATAATTTTAACTTACACTTTTCCCCCTACGTCACATACAGTTTTTACTGCTTTTGACTGAATAAATCTAAATCTATTTTTGTAAACAAACAGGACAAAGAAAGCAAATGGCATTTATTTCTAGTCTGTATACATTAGTCAAATTACAAAATACATTAGTCAAAAAAAATTTAATGTATTTGTTAAAAAATGCGGTACTTAACTTTGAGGTTCAACTGACTTCCATCTCAATTAAGTTCTCATGATTTGCCTTGGCCCATAGAGCAGATGCATAGATGATCTCTTCCATTTGCCTCTGGATTTTTAAATGTAGCTTTTGTCATCGTCATGAACATAAGACACCGCCAAAGACTAGTGCTACTTTTGTCATTCAATAAAATATAAGAGCAAGAGTAAAAAACCTTGACAGCAATTGTTTTATATCCTAATATTATTTCCATTTAATATTCCAGTGGTTCTGAACAGAAATGAATTAAAAGCAAAGGTTTATAGACTTTCTCGGGGAGCATTGACGCATTGCATTATAAGCCTCTAAGTAAACTGTAGTGTTACAAGATGGCGGCGGGCGCAATCGTCGGCTTCAAAAAGAGACGTTCATTGCCAGTCTAGTTTTATACGACTACGAGGATGGATTTTTCATGCTTTGTGTCCCTTAAAGAACTTATGAACAATGGAGGAGGGTCAACGATGCTCTCAACTGCGACTCCAGCATAGTTTTGTTTCTACATCTTTATTTAGCTAAAGGGTTACTGCTTCGTTGTATTTATAATTATCACTATTTTCATTATTATTATTATTATTATTATTATTATTATTATTATTATTATTTAACTATCATCATTTCTGTTATTATTACTATTATTTTAATTTGGTGTTCATTTTTTAAAATATGGAGACATTGTATTATTGCAGGTCTCAAAGCATTCTGAAGAATTCTGTGAATGTCTGACGTTGAGTGGTGGCATAGGATACCTGCTACCGAACTGTGTGCGGACAACGCAGAGTTGCAAGTTGCCGAGATCCGAATGCAGGTCCTGAGAATTAACTTGCCGTCACTCATATCACTACACCACAGACGTATTCGTATGGGTCGATCTTGCACAGCCAACAAAAACTACAGTGAGTGTCAAAAGTATTCGTACACTAGTACATTTTAAACAGTATTGTATTTTTATGCAGTAATTAACTTATAAACATTAGATATTTCTAACATAGTATTAATCTAAATGTAAGGAAACGTTAATACCAAGAACAGCAGAAAAACACATGTACAAAGCAGATGAACTGTTGAAATTTCCTGAAATATGAAATCTCGGGGCTCAAAAAGTATTCGTACAGCAAGGAGAAGTGTAATAGTTATAGCTCCCATACGCTGACTCTTGGGAAATTTGTGACGCTAGAAACGGTATACAGCATTGAACATTCATACCATTTGATAGATAATATATCGATTATAATCGACAGGTGTCTGTATGATTTATGAAAAAAGGTATGGGTCGTAAAGGGAAGGTAAGATCTTTTGAAATGTATCATCAGGTTTCAAAATCAATGCAAATCGTTGCGGGAAATTTCTCAGATTTTAAACAGACCAAGGAATACCATTCTGGGAGTTATTGATAGGTATAGTGTAAGAAAAACATTGAAAAACGTGAGAAAACGTGGACGTGCAAAGATACTTAGTGGAGCAGATGGTCGTGCAATTCTACGGAAAGTGAAGAAAAATCCGCGTTTAAATTTACCAAAAATAGAAAGTGAACTTGAAAATGAATTGCAGATGAATGTATGCGACAGTAATGAGTGAAAGGTTGTGAGGGAATGTGGCTTTCGTGGATAAGTAGCTAGAAGAAAATATTATGTAAATTAAGTGAAAAGAAGGAAAAGGTTAGAGATCGCAAATATACATGTAAATAAAACGTGCATAAATAAAATTTCATTTTCCGTGAGTCACTCTGCTTCATTGCCGTGAACCCCCTTGCCTCGCACGATGAGGTTCTTGATCGCCCTAGGTCTCCTTACCTTACACGGTAAGGCGAAGCATTGCAGTAAGTCCCCTTGCTTCTCACTAACGGAGTGCTTGAATATCGTGAGGCCTTTTGCCTCTCACTATCGGAGTGCATGATTATCGTGAGTTCTTTGCCTCTCACTCCATGAGTGATGATTGATTATCGTAAAATAACATAATTCACAAGTCTAAACAAGTGAGGTTGTTTCATTTGAATATGCTTTGAGTGCACATATGTGCCTTTCTATCATCCGTCAAATCGATATGATCTCCGTTTTAAAATGTACAATAGATCAAAAAGAATGAAGCATTTTTTGCTTAACGGCTATAACGACTTTTGATCAGTATTATCTAAGAAACAATATACTCAATTATCAGACAATTTGACCGAAACATCATTTCCATAGGATTTGTGTCTTTCAGGAATATTCCATTTAATTGTGTATGTTGAAAGTATTCCCTCACTAACTTGCCAAGCATCTCATCCAAATCCTATGATTTGCGGTCTTGCCTTCAACAGAGCTACTTGCGATTTCAGATGATAGAAATAGATTCAATGTATTGCCTCATACAGTTCACTGTTTATCCCTGATCAGACATTTTGTAAGCGTATAAACGAGCTAGAAATTGTAAGAAAAAACTGAAGCCATTTTTGAGATTTTGTTTGTAAATGTTGTAGAGGCTTGATGTAAAGTACCGCCCCATAATTTCCACCTGTTTCAAATTCGAGAATCCGACTACATAAAGTAGCAAGAAATACTTCCGTTTTCGGTGTCAGGGACGTACAAAATGAGTTTTTGGTTCAAAACTGCCAGTTTTTCTTACTCTTCTGGTATACTACGTAAGTATACGCGAGGAGTATACAAGAAAGTGAAAATTAAATAATTGGTTTGCTTTGGAGGCTTTCCTTCCACTTATGTTGGGATCTATTGTCTCTTTTTGTGGGCCAATCAGATTTCTGATTGTAGATGAACTTTATACCCAAGAATTTTTTTGTTGCAAATTAGTTTTTATTAGTTCGTTTCTTTTTAAAGTTCCATTTTGTTTTCATCGTTTTCTGCGCTTGCTCTCGTGCCTCTGGTCATCCCGAGTCCGAATTATTTCCTTGATGGCTTCGGCTACAGTGTCCATTATAAAACTAATGTTATCCCCCTGTGCTTGCTAGCAACCAATTTCACAGTTCGAATACTGTAATTGGGTTTCGCCGAGGGTATGTCATTTAAATGGAGCCCGCGATCGCCGAACATGGCGCTTCGGTGGCGGCGGCTGCGTCCTCCGTGCGCTCGCGTGGTGGAGAGGGCGAGGGGGAATGAGGACGGGCGGGGTAGCGAGGGGGTGCCGCGATGGGGCGAGGGGGTGAGGGAGGTGGTTGGGTGGTGAGGCAGTGTGTAGGGGGAGGGGGTTGCGGCGGGTGGGGAGGATGGTGGTCCGGGGAGGGGGTGAGAGGGTAATGGAAAATAGAGGGTCGATGGTGTTCGCGGGAGGGCGGCGTGTGAATAGAAAGGCGGGGTGATTGTGTGATGTTGGCTGGAGGGAGGTCGAGTGGAGAAGTGGCGGGTTTGTGGTGCGATGTGAGCTAGGCGGAAGCTGTGTGCTGACGAGTGAGCGACGGGGGACGAGCGACGCGGTTGAGCACTGTAAGATGAGTGTGAGCGGCGAGACGCGTTGGGTGGGGAGGGGGATGGGTGGTGGAGTGTGTTGGCGTGTGCCGGGCCGTGTGGCAGTCAGAAGGGAGGGTTGCTGGGGTCCCTCGGAGGTCAAGCGGACGTGCGGCGGTCGGTGCGCGGCGCGTGTTCAGGTAGATGGGCTGGGCATCGCCCTTTCTACGCAGCACGCAGATTGCAAGGGTGGACCGGGGAGTCAGTGGGAGCACTGGGAAGTCACTCAGCGGAAAGAAGGGAGCAGAAGAGCGGCCGCGAGTGTGGGAAGAGAGCGAAAATGAGACGATAGGAACACTCGACGCGCGATTGTTATTGGACAAGGGACGTGTCTAAAGATCATGCGAAGTGAGAAGTTTGAGTAATTGGAGAAGAAATCAACGAGTGAATTTATTGATATATAATGCGGATATAACGAAGGGACTGAGAAAGCGATCTAACAGTGCAACAATATATCAGTAGTTAAATTAGATGAGAGAATGAGATAACAGGAAAGGAGAAAAGATACAATAAAAGACGCCAAAATGAGGGAATCTAAAAGATTAATTAGATGTAATAGGAGAGTGGAATGAGACAAGGAATAACAAGAAAGATGTCAGAGAAAAATTAGCAAGCGAGCATAGAGGTAACGGAGATGAAGTGGAAAGTAATTTTCCTTGTGTTACTGTCGATATTATTCTCTGAAGTGAGTGAAATCAGGTAGCTGAACAAATAAACATGAGAGCGATGGACGAAGAAGAGAAAGATAAATAAGGAAAGGTCGGTCCAGGAAATGTCGTGTGTGCATGCGTGGAGAGAGCATTCCGACGAGCAGGGAACACGCGGGGGGAGGGGGGAGGGGTTGACCTTCGCACGTGTGGCGCCGCCGTTCGCTTTGCATTCGCAAACAGCCTGCGCGGCGCGGCGCGGGGAAGTCCCTGGGGTCACGTGGCTTCGCGGGCGTTCAATTTCGGGGCAGCGCTGCAAGAAGGCAGCTGCGGCGCCGCGGCCGCTCCGCTCGCCTGCTGATAATTAGCGCGTTTCGCGGCCGCCTGCGGTGCCCATTTGCGCGTGGGTGGGTGGATTATGGGCACGCTGATCAGTATTGGAAATAATTGCAACCTGCTTTGGGTATCGAAGAATTCCCTTTAATCTACATTACTAATTACCGTACGCGCGCAGAAAATGGAAGAAAGCTATCCACTCTCATGCCGTGTGAGTGGTGTCTGTTTTTTTGGTAGATACTCTGAAATACGGGACATTATACTGGATGTTCAGGGAGGAAACATCAAAACTTCACAAATAAGCTTTTAATACAATTTTAAGCATATTTTGGCTAATAATGTACTTGGATATTGCGAAAGGTTGAGCCGCAAAAAGCACTCAAAGGTTGGTTTGAAAAAATGCGTTCTACGCAAAAAATTGCATTGCAGAAGCATAGAAACACTCCAGACACATGTATATTGTTTGTTATTCACAAAAGAAATTAATGTATTTTTTCAGAAAGAAAAATTAACTCAGAAATAAAAAAAGCACATAATTTACACAATTCGACTACTTTTTTTATTCCTGGGTTCTATTTTCTTTCTGAACAAATTTTTCAATTTCTTCTGTGTTAAAAATTTCAAAAAAATGACCGTAATCAAAGAACTAACTACGAATAAAATAATTTACTTCATGAAACAATCTCTATCTTTAATTTTGTAATTGTAGGAAGACGTCGATAATTTTTCAACATTCTAAATTGTTCGAAAATTCAAAGTTAACAGAGAAAAACAGATCTAAGTCATCTTTATAAGTGTATAAGCCTATTCTTTAAAGAAATTAAAGAAAAAAATTAGGAGCCATTTTTGAAAATGTGCTTGAGGTTGCATGTAAAGAACCCTCATATTTTAAAGAATATTTCAAAATTGCAATGCTTATAGTCGACGCAGAACGTTCGAGAAAAATACATCTTGAAAACAAGTCCTACGTATGATTCAGGCGCTAATGGTGATAACGGATGTAAGGTGGTATCTGCGGGTTGAGCTAGAGTTGGAAGACGGACAGATCTTTTGGTGCAGCATTACATAACTTTCTCTATAGTATTGTATTACTCGGTGTTTACGCACAAACGGGAAAGTCAAAACGCTCCTCTATTCGCAACCTAGCGGCCGCCTCTGTTCACGATACGTCGACAGCTTCTGATAGAACAATTGCTACTCGTACCACAAAACAGCCAATACCTACAACATATATACAATGTATTAGTAGTTCGACATGAATACGAAATCGTAAGTAATACGTAATGGTAAATGATGTTATGATAAATTAGCGTTCATT